TATAAGCTGACAGGAGGGAGATATGGTAGATTTTATTTCTCATCCTGACAATAAGCCATGTGAAATTTATGTGAATTGAAGTCCAGTCTATTCTCTATTTTCTGGAGAAGCTCAAGCCATAATTTTGTTTAGCACTTTACAGTTCTAGTGCTCATCTTTATAATACCTTTTTTTTTAGTACAGGACTACAACAGCACTTCAGTGGTAATTGTGGGGGGTTATATTTATTTGCAGTCCTCTGCCCCTTTGTAAGCACTTGGGAAACATAGGTGGTACCAACTGAACAGAAAAAGGATGTTAAGTGATGATGTAAAAACAAGCATTAAAAAGAACCACACTTAAACTTGTGAATATTGAGGACTCATTGCTGTAAAAAAGCACTGAATCAATGTGTTTAACCATGGGACATTTTGCAATCTGCTTTACTTGCAGTTTTGTCAAGCACTATTTTGTATTACCTATTATTTTCTTTATATTAGGGACATTTCCTTCACTAGTGTCTGTGTTCTTATTAAGCTTCTTCATAGCAATTTCTGGTTTTAAGTCCATTTGTGGTGAGTGAACAGGTACTCTGATTTGAGCAGGTGTAACAACTTCTTACCTGTTGTTTTTAAACATCAATTCAGATTAGAGAATGACAGGAGTGGCTGTGAACCAGAGATGCTCCTGCTGATGGAACAGGACCTTGCTGTTGTTTGTACAGGTTTGTACAAGCTGCTGGACACAGAACCCTCATCTAACTGGGCAAACTGGCCAACACCTGTTGGGTTAATGTTGGGACCAGAGGTCAGGTGTGTTTCAGGTGTGCAGGTCAATCAGTTGGTAATGAGCAGCAGGTGGAACATCAGTGGAGAGTAAACAGGTTGCTGGAATGCCACTGTGGTGTTTGAGCTTTCAGCTCAGCAGTGGAGGTTAAACAACAATGAATGTATCTTTTGATTTAACCTTTTTAAGAAAATAGTGTGTAAAATGTAATTTTTGCTAGCAGCAAGATTGCATTGACTTTGGGAGCTCTTATTTTTGGGGACACCATAGCCCACAGGGAGAATAGGGGAGTTGGAGCTCAGCATCTCTTCCACAGGTCTACAGCCCTGTCATTCCCCTGAAAGTTATATTTCTGACATCACCATGGTGAAAATGGCTTTGGTATAGAATAAAACTCCATCCTGATACTGCTAAACTTCATTCCAAAGTTGCTGTGTGCTTGGCCTTTGAAGAACAGCTGTTTTCTGTTTGTCTTCCACGCTGCAGTTTCCAGTGCCATTCCCCAGGAACAGGTTCCCCTGTTTGTTAAGTAGGGATTAATTGTGCCTGCAGTGTGGGTGTCTGGGGAGACTGAAGTTATTGCCATTTGGAGGGGAGGTTCCATTTGTGTGCCAGCAGTGATGATAATGATTTTGCAACTCTTGGTAAGAGAACAAAGCTCCCTTCAGGCTGTGCTCTTGATCTTTCTCTGAGCAGGTCTGAAATTTATCACAGGGTATGTGCCCATTTTTCTGAGACATAAAACCTAGTTGGTAGGACAAAGGGAGATTTTCATCAACCTTGGTTTAATGTTGAGGTTGTGTTTATTCTTCATTTTCCCACTGAGAGTAATTCTTCATCTCCTCTTTACTGACTGAAATGAGATTGTCCAAGGTGTCTTTAAGGTGTCTCATATCCACAGGGTTTGGGGTTTTTTTTCTCTGCTCTAGCTTATATGAAATATCACTTTGACTCCTTAAAGTGTGTGCAATCCTTGGCCAGCTCTGTTCTTTGCTTATTGCTGTGCTGTTGTGTCACCAAGGTGCTGACATATATTTGTGTATTATATACACATTTCCTGAATGGTGAGTGAAGACAAAAGACCAACCACACTCCTAATCCCTACAGTGATGGTATGATAACTAACTGGTGTCTGCATGCTCCATCTCAGCCAGAACTAATGGCTGGGGCTGCTTACTTTGCTACAATCCATTTTGTTCTGGTGCCATTTAATTAATCTTAATTGAAGTGGCTCTGGCACAATACAGTGGTGACCCAGGCCCAGGTTGCTGAGGATTTTTAACCTGAGTGTAGCACTGCAGCACAGTCAAATGGTGTTATTTTATGTCATGATTATTGGGTAAACCAAGACACAAAACATGAAGAGCTTTGTGCTTATTCACATCCCCTGAAAATGTTTCATCCAGACACAATCCCCTTTTAAAATGCAGGTTTAGAAGTGCACTTAGATCCAGACTTATTAACACTGCTTGAAAAGCAAGACTGAAAACAAACTGCTGAACAAATTCTCTTTTGTTATCTGAATCCTCAGTGGAGCCTTTTGGTCTCTGTAACTGGAGAAATCAATAGGCAATTAATGTGCAGGTAGGAGTCAATATTTTAGAAAACATCTTATGGTTTGAGATCAATATTCACATATGGGAAAGCTTCGTCATAGTTTAAAGATTTCTCCTTTGAATCTTGACACTTGGTCCCTCAGTGCTTAGTTCCCACTGAGGCTGGAGCATCACTGTGTTCCAGAGATGTGAATCCTCACCCAGTGCACCCTTTGTACACACACTAATCAGCCATTGACAGCACTTAGCTATTCACCTTCAAAATCCAGATAAATTAATCTTCCACTCAAAGAGGGAGATGCTTATGAAGAAAAATAGTCACACAAGGCAATGTAATTGCTAAACCACTGGTTGTCAAGAAGACATCTGTGATACTGTGGATGAAGGATCCATATTTTGATTATCTTATTCATGAAATCATACTGTTCATTTCCTGTTGTTTTCCTCTGTTATAAATCAGGCAGATGAGTTTGGGCAGCTGCAGTGCTGTGCCCAGACAGGACTCACATTTATCACATTTCAAAAGGAACCTGGAAAAGGTCACTGCATTAAATCGATTTTTTATTTTTTTTTTTACTCCATCGTTGTAGAAAATGTTTATTTTCTTCACCTACTCACCCCACAGCAGACATGGAGTGAAAGTTTAAGGCAGTGGTTCAAATCAGCAGTTACTGAGGTGCTGAGCTCTGTCTAGAAAAAGAAAACTCAATGACATTCAATAACTTCACTGCTGAAGTTGTGGGTTTGGATCTTGCCCATCTGTGTGATGAGTTAGGTCCCATGTTAACCGTGTTTATGGCCCTGGAACTATAGACTGAAAAAATGTCTTTTATTTTGGTAAGCCAACACCTCTCTATTTTTATACCAACCCAAATTTCCTACCTCCATTAGCTAATTTATGGCCATTAGGAAAACGGCTTTGAGGGACGAAAATTTCCTGTGTGTTTAAATAACTTTTTCTCTTTTTTGTTTCTTTTTATTACAGTGCCTGATGTTTGTGAGTGATTTTTTTTAACCTTCTCTCACTACTG